CGTTGGCAAGCACAGGGACTTTGGGACTAACGCTTGCAAGATTCGGGGGACTCGTGACTCCATGATGCCAAGGTGTGGAACAATGACCGACACTTCAACGCTAAGGATGTGCGTGCAAAGCAAAGGTACTGTTGACACGCTCGCTGTCCAATGATTGGCCCGTGATCCAAGCCAGAAGCACCAACTGCCGGGGCGTTCCGGCCGCCGACCGTGGCCGGGTCGATTTTTTTTTTTTTTTTCAGGAGCCCAAGCAAGCGCTGATGGCACAGCGCTCCAAAATCAGCTCCACCACCAGCCACTGCGCCTGCAGTGACACGGCAGCGCTGGCACCCCCTCCTGCCTACAATTACAGCTTCCGTTGCATCAGGCCACCCGCGGTGAGCCACTGGGGCAGACAAGCCGTACACCAGCCGCCTAAAAAAAAAAAAAAAAAAACTCGAGCGTCCAAGAGAGAGAGAGAGAGAGAGAGAGATATCGTAGGTTTGGCACGAAAATGCAGAGATGAACCAGGATGTGTGATTTTCATAGTAGACGCTTCAAAGCCAAATGTAGAGATGGCACTGAAACATGTTGTCAAACCAGAGCTTGTTGACGCACCCGACTCTTTAGCGTCTGTCAGCAAAAAAAAAGGTTCTGCGACGCGGCAAGCCTCGAACACGCTATATGTTTACGCATATATAATAGAAGATGCAGCAATTTACGTAATATAGTAACGTTTCAACGATTTCTATTTTATGACTTTTTGAAGAAGTAATATCAGTTTGTGTAGTTTTCCTTGTTGGCTTGCTCTGGGCCACAAGTTGAAACGGCAGCGAGCGGGGGTGCAAGCGCGACAGGCGCCCGGCACGGGTCAAGGGGGCCTGGATCGGTATGCAGCCAACATGAAGAGCAAGTGTACACCACTGACGGGCCTGTGTACCATCCTACTCCTGGCCAATGTTGCCCTCTCCATCTTCCTCCTGGCTTCTCGAGGTGCGTGAGGCGAGCTCCCGCGCCCTCGCCTCCCCTCCCTTCTTCCCCTCCTGCTCTCCTCTCAATCCCTCCCTCTCCCTCTCCCTCTCTTTCCCCTTCTTGCCCCGCTCTTTCACGCTTGCGGCTCATCTCACTTATGATCATGTTCAGGCTGGGTGCGATACGAACTGGGCCAGTATACGGGGCGCTTCGGCCTGTTTGACTACCAGCTCAACGGCAATACACGCGACTGTTGGTGCCGCGCACTTTGAAGCCCTCCATCGTTTTCCTCCTCCTCGCGCCTTCTCGGACGTGCCCTGCGTCTGCGCGCACCGCTCACGCTTTCAATATCCGCCGTTGTCATTGCGCCGCGCGCCTGCCGTCTCATACGTAGATGGTGACGACCAACCCAGCTTTTCGGTGGCTACGCTCATGGTCGCAATGATTGCCTTGGCCATATTCCTGGACGTTCTGGTGCTTGGCATGGTCTTTGTCGCCAACCTGAGTCATGCACCTTGTGAGCCCCCGTATCTGCCTCGTTGGTCGCCTGTGCGCGGCTCGCGCATGTCACTAAATCTACCTCTTCTGCCGCTCGTGTGTTTCTCCGTGGTTTGAAATTTCTCGCACAAAACAGCTCTCATGTGGACGCTCGGCATGACGGCGGCCTCGAGTAAGAAATCAATGCATACGCACCCTTGGTGCCACATCTGGCCCGTGAAACGGTCTCATCACATGACTGTGCATGCCTCCGTTTCCCAACCTACGCTCTCGCCCCTAGCATTTCTCAAGACAATCATCATTGTCGTGTTTGGAGAGTGGTATCGCACCAGCAGCGCCAGCGAACTCTTGCTCGTTGGCGACTTTTACGTCGGCCCCTGCTACATTCTCGCCCTAGTCTCTTCTCTGACCAGCCTACTGCTCATCTTTCTCATCTTCAAAACCCGCTAGCCACAGCGCTGTGGGTAGTACGACAGTCTCATGGCCTCTACGGTGTGTGGGATGCTACCTGCGGGGTGTGGGATGCGACCTGCTTTGGCCCAATACCCGTGGTGCTCAACCATTGCACAGGGCTGGGTGTTGATTCTTGTCCATCTGCACGCATGCTATTTCAGATTGGTGATCCCCATGCTCTTAATCGCCACACGTTTCCGACCAAACTTTATTTTTGCAGTGCTTCCTCGCCGTCAGTGACGTACACGCTGAGTCAAGCAAGCTCGTTCCTAAACGGCACTCGCGCGTGGCGGGCACAGGTGGGCAGCAGGAAGATGGCAAAAAATCTTTAATATCACGAGTAACCGTCTCTGCTAAAAGTTAATTAAGAGTATTATTTACAACGCCATATCCCTTTCATCGATTGGACTTGACTTTTCAAACCTTTGCAATGCCGAGCCCTCGGCATGGCCCATCAATCGTTTCCGCAACCTAAACCTTGTCTTGAATGGTGTCCATATGACCAAGACCCTTTTGGGCCTTTGGAATAATTTCGTGGGCCCTTGGTCTTGGACCCGTGCCATCAACATCCATGAACGACTTTTGAAGCCCGTCGATTGTGGCACGTCTTTCGGTGGCGCTGTGGGTGCGTGGCTGTGCACATGTTTTTTAAGTAGAATGAAGAGCGGGACGCACAGAGAGACAATGAAGGAATCATGCGCTCCAGCGATCTTGTATGTGTGCCGTAACTTTTCAGCGTGTGGACGTCGTTGCTGTTGGGGAAAATTCAAAAAGTTAAATTCGCACGTCACAAAAAGCCGACTCAGTTTAAGCTAATACTATTCTCCCGCACCCCTCCCACCTGCCTGCCCACGATCATCTCGGATCGACTCGAAAACAAAAGGAATTCAGATAGAAAAAAAGAGAGCAACTAAAACCCGTCCTGGCCCAAAACTCGCAGCGTCCATTCGAGCCCGAGGAACACCACGGCGTTGGCCGGAAAGCTGCGCACCAGCGCCGCATCAAACCCTCGGTAAAAGGCCCGCACACCTCCTACAAAAGGACAAAAAAAAAAAGCAGTTTGGCAAGTCAGTGGTACGCCCTTCAATACCTTCACCTGACCTTTCACACCCGGCCTCTGCCTCCATGGGCAGCCCATCAGCTCTCTCACAATGAGCGTTAACAGGCAGCACGCACCGTCTTGGTAAATGTGGCGAATGGCCTGAGGCACGGTCAAGGGGGTGCGGCTGGTCTGAATACGGGTGCGGACCGTGTCGACGGGAAAGTTACCGCCCCAGAAGCACGCCCCGGCAAAACCGCCAGCCATGATTGTTTGCCACGAGGCCAGCGGGCGGCCGTCGTTCCAGTGGTTGAACTGACGCTTGATGAGCTCGTACGAAGTAAAGTAAAAGGGGGCGCCCACAACACGGGTGCCGACAACAATGGGGTAACCCTTGAACAACCCGAGCGGGCCGCGTTGGGCGACAGTCTGACGCATGACATCCCAAGGGCCAGAGTACAACCGGCTCACGCCAGCCGACTGATACTGCAACGTGCTCTGCTCGCAGACAGCCACAAAAAAAAAAAAAGGGTGGGGGGGGGGGGGGGGGGGAAGGAGGTGGTGTAAGCCAAGGCCAGGAGCAAGATTGAAGCTTGAAACAAGGACACGTGGACTCGAGGAAGAGGGAGCGGAAAGATGAATCATACCTTGACATATTCGACTGGTGTCAGAACGAGGCCGTAGACGGGCGCCGTCATGATGGCTGCCAGGACCACCTGCCAGATGACACATGCCTAGCGTTGGCGAGAGTGGCACTGACCGCGCGAAGATATTCGGAAGAACAAAGGACAGGGAACGTGCCTGGGGGCCAGAAAGCTTGAGCGGGGATTCTGCGCCACTGAGATTACAGACAAGGCGCTTCATGGTACCGTTGACCGAGAACATGACACCGTTCAAGACCCCCGCCATGAGCATGGGGGGCAGGACACCCTTGTACAAACCCGTGATGCCCTAGGAGCAAAAAAAAGAAAAAAAAAAAAAACAGGAAACCCATCATAGCTGGAAAGTGAGGAGAAGCTGGGGAATCGGGCATGGCGGCTGTCACTGATTGGGAAAGGTGATCAAGAGGTGCCACGCTAGGACGACAAACCTCTTGTTGAAGCGTCTGCCGAAAGCAATTCCAGGAAGTACCGTAGAGGCGGGTGCCTTGCTCGCTTTGCATGCGCACTTTGACCGTATCCAGCGGGTGGCCCACGAGCACTTGCAGGATACCACCAACGGTACCACCCAGCAATTCACCGAAAAGCTTTTGCCTCTGCTGTTGAGGTGTCGGCGGAGGCAAGGCACTGTCAGTGCCAGTTTTGCTGCCGTTGGTCGCGGCCATGATGTCAGTTGCTGGGGCCTGGCTGCCGAGAATGTTGATCAACCCTGCCAAATTGAAACAAGAAGCCAAGGTGAACAGGCGAGAAGTGGCTGGAGTAAGGTGTGTGGATTGGCCGTCGCATTGAATCTCGTGTGGCCCTGCATTGCATGGACACACTTGTCAACCCTCGGCTCGGATCAGCGCACATCAAGTTCACCAAAGCCAGGCACG